TATATATATAATGTAAAGCTGAGGTTGTCTCCTTATTTACAGTAGCTGTAGAGAACATTTAATACACGTTTGAATGGCAGCAGTAAGAGTCACCTCACGCACAATGATAATGGTGACACAGCCGCAGGGCAAACCAGTACAATGATGTCCTTAAAAAGACATTTTCAAAAGAAAATCCATCCTCACAATGTCCTGTTTCCGCGGGTTTCTCTTTCCACCTGTCAGGAGAAAGAAAGGGAAGAACAACGAAGTTGCTGGCCGACTTTCCAGGGTGACACCAGATCTGAGTGCCACACTGTGCTGAGCCATAAGAGGACAATACGAATATAAATACACACAAAGATGCTACAATGAGACAATGTCCTGACAGAAATGTGCTGGATAATTGATGTCATCGTGTATCACACACTGCGTAACTCTATTCAAACATTTACATTTTGTATTTCTGTTCAAAAATGTTGGTGTTCAAATAAGTTCAGCTTAGAGCTTCTGACTGAGAGAGAAAACGCCGAAATGACTCAGCAAATATTCTGTTTATTTTAGGTTCTTTCCCCTGATGCTTTCATTTCAGCTGACATGAAACAGTGCAGCATGCAGAGAAGCTCAGAAACACAAATATCTGTTTATATGATGTAAAACACAAGGATGTTGTCATCTCAGATAGAAAAAATGTGAAAGACAAATTAATTTTTTTAAATTAATTTAACTGTCAACAAATTGTACTTGGTTTATAAAGAGCATCCCATAGAAGACAACATCTCATCGGCTTGGGCAAATGATTGAACAAGTTAAAGAATCTGTTGTTTTTTTATTTTTAGTGTAAAATTTAAAAAAAAATGCATGATTATTCAACATTTGTAGACCATTTTAGAAAATCCTAACAAGGCTGAGGAGCAGTTGTGTGCCTAAGGAACTCTGGTGGTGGGAACAAAATTGTTAAAACAATATTAGAAAACTAATAAAAAAAATCATCAGTTCATTATGATCTTGTAAAAAGTTACTAAATAATGAGCCAGAAACAAACTCATTGAGGACAAAGTTTTTTTAAAATACCCTGAGATCATTTCAATCAAAAATAGTTTTTTCCCCTAAAAAAACAAAACAAAACAAATTATATTTAAAAAAATTTTAAATGCTACTCTTTATGTTTAAAAGGTGAATCATGTAACTATTTTTATCATTGTCTGCGAGTGCGTGGGAAACCTGAGCGTCTGTGTGGGCATTTCATTTACAGCTTTTATCTGAACAAATATTGTTCTCCAAACATTCATCTCAGAGGAGAACTTGTTTAAATATGAGGCTGAAATGATTTGTCAACCATTCGTCTCCGTTTTTATGTACATTTTATAATAATTACCAACTATTTTCTTGGGAAAATATTTTAAAATTGTCCATAAACATGGCAAGTTATATGTTGTGCCAATTTCTTTCCTAACTGCAAAACAACTGCTGAAACGTAATAAATAAGTTTAAGTTTGTTAATTATTTGAGAGGTATAGTGACATTATAAAGACTTAAATCCACTCTGTTAAATCCATCAAAATATTTGAACTTAGTGGTCCCATGAGGTTAAAGACAAATATTTGAGCTCTTCTTGACAATCAGTCAAGTCACTGTTTAGAAGTGAGCATATTGTGGTCTCTGCTGCCCTCTGTTGGTGAGTTCAGTCTCAACACTTTGATCTTTTCATGCCTGAAACTTAACATGAGAAAATCCTTCCTACTTATTAATCCAGTGCAAACAAGCCTGATGACAGGTGCAAGTCTGCAGACACTAATAAAAGTTAGAATACGATGACAGTGACTGTTGTAGAGAATAAACACTTTTATGTTTATTACGGCTCTACTGCTTCTTCTTTCTACCAGGAGTCACCACATCCTCCCTCCAGGTTCCTCTCTCTGCATCCAAACATCTCCTGTTAGGGCTTCCTTCCACAAGCACACCCACACTCATGTAAACCTTTCATTTGTCCTTTGCTGCCACCTTTTGTCATAAATCAGCATCTGAGGTAATCAAAAAATGATAAATAAATAAATAAATAAATAAATAAATAAATTTGGGGTCCCTGGAGAAAGCATGACATGGCTTTTTTTTTTAAATTGAACAAATTTTTCAGCGAAAACACAAAAGAATGCTTATAATATTGCATTTCCTTAAAAAAAATAAAGCTTATATTTGAATAATTGGGGTGTGTGGTATGGGATCACAATTTCTTTCTCCACAGGGGAGAGCTGACAGAAATCGAGATCCACTACTTAACATAATTTATGTAAAAACAAAACATTTAATATAAATTGTTAAATGCTGCTTATTTTCTTATTTTTAACTTTTAAAAATTTATTTTAGTATGTATATTTTATGCATATGGATATGTACATGTATTTTATTTGTTCTTTAAAATGTTTTTATATTGACTGTTTTCTTATTGATATTTTTGTTGTTTTTTAATCTGTTTTTTTGTAGCACTTTGAGGTTTGGCATCAAATGAAAAGTGCATTACAAAAAATATTATTATTATTATTATTATTATAGTACCACATACTGTCATAAACTCTTAGATATACCCAGAAAAGAACTTTTCTATTATATAATGCTAAAACCAAATCATGTTAGTCTTCACTCAGAAATAGCTATCGGTAAATAAAATGTGGACAAATGTGTTTTGATGCAAAATAACTGAACTTTTATTGATTCTCCATTTGAACTTGTTTCAACCAACAACTTGTGCATGGCCGCCACCATCTGATAACCATCCAGTGTTATTATTGAGGGCTGAATCAGGAAGTGGTGAATAAAATGTGCGTTGGAATTTAAAGGATTGTTTTACATATATAACGAACATCAGAAACCAAAAAGTAAAAGGAGAAGTGGGAAAACAATCAAAACTGCTCCTTTATTCGTCGTCAAAGTTCTGTTGTAAAAGGAAGTTGGCAGCCAGGTTCTCGTTCTTCTCACACACAAAGTAGGCTTGGATCACAAGTCCTTCTGGAAACCCGAGGGCCTTTAGCTGAAATGAAAAAATAATAAAAACGCTTAATATTTGGTTTCTATATCTGCTTGGTATATTTGTAAAAAATGGTAGTGAAAGTAAAGTTATTTAAGCCTTCTCCTCACCCTCTCTATTGCTTCTTTCTCCTGTGGCGTGACCTGAATGTAGCTCACGTGACTTCCGCTAGTGGCTTCCCCTCCTACTCTCCCTGCTCCTCTTGCCTCCCTTTCCTCGCCTCCTGGCACTGGATCTGTGTTGGGCTCATTCAGCATCTGGATGAACTGCTCTTGATGATTGCTGATCTCCTACGGTGGTTAGAAGCAAAGTTAGGGAAGTCAGAAAGCCAAGGTGCAAACGATGGCGTCTGGGAGAAGAGCCGCTAACGACGACACAAAACATCTTAAACAATGGAAATCAGATTGTGTGGTGACAGCAACAGGCTCAACACGGAGAGAGGGATAAAAAAGGAAAACACAATTTATGAAAGTATTAATATTATAAAGCGTTGTAGCTACATAATTTGCAAGGTTATGAGGACACCTCCAAAGTGAGGAGGGAGTTCCAGAATTTTTTTTTTTATTTTCATGGTGACCTCACAGGTTTTCACTCCACTAATTACTCAACCGCTGTACTTAAAGACACAGTGTGTAGGATTTTGTCAAGTCTTTTAGCCCAAATCGAGATAATCACTAATGACAATAATAAAAAAAAAACATGTCTAATCATTGCAAAGACCTTGTTTTATTATTTTTACCTTATAAAAAGCTGTTTATATCTCCATGGTCGCGGGTCGCCACTACAGGCAGCCGCCATCTTGCACCGCCATCTTGTCTACGAAGGCTCATGAAGGACAAACTGCGGTGGCGGCGTCAAAAACGGTTTTAGTTGTAATACTATAAATGTAATATTTGTTGTCTGTCYTTGTAGCTGGGATAATTTTACTTATTAAAGCTCATAATCTTACCACTTGAAACATCACTAGCCCTGAAGCTGCTGGTAGATATCGCAGTTGGAATTATCAAAGGTTTTTGACACCTGAGAGACACCGTAGCAACTACTGTACTTTGCATTTGGAAGGGGGGTGGGGGGAGGACCAGGGAGGATGATTCAACCACTAGATGTCGCTGAAAACAACAAATCCTTRACACTGTGCCTTTAATATGGACAGATTTTATTTTATTTTTATTGTTTACGTCCTGATGCACAGTATAGGTTCAGAGTATGAAGATACACTGAAGGGAAAAAGTTGATTTTTTTAAAGTCCATCTTCTTTCAATCCTAGGGTTTCGACTTATAATGAAATAAAAATAATCTGGTCTTCCTGTCGAAATAAAGGTTACATAAAACAAAAATAAAGAAACACTGTGGATAAATGAATGTCTGCAACCCTCGATAAACTGAAGCAATGTTGTAAAGAAGACTGGGTTAGAATACCTGTATAACCTGTCTGTCAAGTTATAGCTGATAAAAGTGGTTTTAAAGCTGCCGAATCATGAGGTGAACTTTGTTTTTCATACATGTTTCCCATTTAGCTTCTCCTTGTTTATATTTAATTCCTTTTAGAGGCTTCCACATGTCTGCACAGCATCAGGAATATTATATGCAACTGTGATTTTCTTGTTTATTTTAATTAAAAACTTGAAAACAAGTGCGCATAGAAAACAATAAATCAAATGAGTAAAATGCAATTGAATTCAATCAGGATTTACAGTTTGTCATCTCAAACACTGAGGTCTGCAACTACCTGCAGCAGCTCTGGGTTCTCCCTGCCAATCTCCTGCAGCAAGGTCGGAAGCAAGGATGCATTCTGCTGGATCAGCTGTCGCATGACCTGGAACTGAGGCTGACTCCTGAGGAAGCTCAGGGGGTTTTCTGTAAGCAGGAGTCAGAAAGAGTTGATCAGCAGGAACCAAGAAATCAAGGCACACACATCACAGACGCACGTGTAATAAAGACTGCTGGAACGGTTTGGAAGAGAGAGAGAGACTCCTCACCTCCTCCTGCAGCACTTGGTGAGGAGCCGGTGTTGGCAGGAGCACTGACACTGCTAGCAGGTGCAGCTGGAGGCGCAGCTGCATCGGGCCCCGTGGCAGGACCCTGGTCTCTGCCTGGGATGCCCTGTGGGAGGAGTCGTGGCTCGCAATCACTATAACGTGTTACAACGAAGCATTTCGGTTTCAGGTTCGAGGCAAATCAATGGATTGTGTTCTTACAGAGAGCAGGTACTCCATCGCTCTGTCTGGGTTGTTGTAGCTCGCTCTCAGAGCCGACACCACCTGCTCCCGCTCATAGCCCATCAGCATCATCTCGTTCACCATAGCATCATAGGACGAGCCTGTCACTGAAGGGACGAACAGAACACACACACACAAACACTCAGAGTATCAGGTTTTACTTTCTCAGGTTCTGTAGTTAAAAATAGAAAAAATAAAAACACGGACGGACTCGTACCAAGAGTCGAAACAGCTTCACTGATCAAGTCTGAGCTTGTGGAAGCTTCAGAGCTTCTACAAGACAAAAGCAAAACCTTGGGTGAGTTGTGTCGTTAATTTAGATTAATGTCAAACAAACGTCCAGCAGTCTTTACCCAACAGTGGTGGATGATGGTTCAGACGACGGTTCAGCTGCCGAAGGCTGTTTCTCCTCTGGTTTGTCGTCAGGAGAAGGCTGCTCCGCAGGTTTGCTGGAGCTGGATGAGGAAGCAGGAGGCGCTGCAGGAGCTGCAGGTGCTACAGGAGCTGCTGACGTCTGAGAGGTGACTGGGGCCGTTTTAGGCTGCAAAAAATGTTTCATTTATATATAAAAAATTTTTTTAATTCTTACTCCAGTCACCTTATAGTGATCTCCAAAGATGTATTTTATGTTTGCCTACTTTATTACATTGACTTGTGAATCGTAAATTATTCTGACCAAAGCCACTTTTCAAACTTATTTAACCAGGCAAATCCCACTCAGTACACAAACCTTGTAAAAACGAGGCCTGAGCCTAAAGGTAAACATCAGGACTGAAATGCACAAAATGTTAGGCTACAGCTGTCCTTATGTTGCAACAACTAAAAATAATCCCCGGGGATTAATCTGGGCGTTTTAAAATGTTTATGTATTTAAAACGATTAATCCCACTAACCAAAGAATAATATACCATAATCGGAGGTTGTAATGGCAGAAAAGGGTCACATAAACGGGATGTCATTATTTTATTTAGGACATGGACGTGTGGACAAAACATAAACACAAGTTCAGTGAGAGATAAAGTCTGTTTGTCGACTTCAACTACAGCCTTTCAAATTTGGCTCTCAAGAGTCTCAAAAGCGATAAATATTTCTGTGAAGTAATTTTAAAACCTAGATCCCGAACCTTTGTCACCATGACGACCACAAAGTTCTTCTCATCCATTTTGTATTCTTTGAGAGGCGTGTCATCGTTAAGGATTTTACCTGCGAAGAAACAGAGAAAGCAGACACTACTTACAAACATTATCAACCATGGCAACATGAAGGAAGTGGAGAAACACACTGAAAAACTGGTAAATAGAGTTATAAAACAAAGCCACACATCATACCAGCATATATCAGTTTCTGACCAGCAAATGGAAAGTGCTCTTCTCCTTTCTCCTGTTCAATCCTCTCTTTTAATGTTTTCACCTGTGAAACAAATACAAAACAGAAGGCACTCATATTTACTGACACTAACTTTCCCATCCGATTCTCAGCAAATAAACCAGTCCAAAGTGTGCACTAAGTGCTACCAGGACCATAAAACTGGACTGTGACTTCTGACTCAAAAATAAAACCAAAACCAAACACAAACTAAGGTTCTGTTTATTTAATTTATACATGAAAGCTACTTTATCTATAGCAACAATTTTGCAAATATAGCACGTTGTCTGTTTAACGAAAGTAAAAGTAAATTATGTCAAACCACATCTGGAACATTAATTAGATGGGCTAAGACTAACTACTGACAAATCAACTCACTTATGTGCAATTTGTCCCGAATTATTCCAACTTGTTTAAAGCTGAGCATTAGGAACAAGACAAGATAGATCCAATGATGGTTTTATTTAAGTTATTTCGTATTTACACACGCTTCCCACAAAACCAGTCGTTTCCAGGACATAGCCAACTCCCACACCCCCCTGCTGCTCATTTTCAACTAGTCTCACCGTCTCCTCTTCGTCGATGTCAACTTTAAACGTCTGTTGCTGTAAAGTCTTCAAAGTTATCAGCATCTTGTCGGCTGCGTTTTACTCCCTGGCCTGGTTTCAACCTCGTAAATTCAACTTCCAAGAGTCTTCAGTGATTTTATGTTGGCTCATTACAAACTGTCAGCTGCCATGACTTTTCGTTTTTCTTCTTCTACGATTGATATTTAGACCACTGCGCCCCCAGCGGCCAGGCCACGAACAGCGCCCTACAGTCTCTGTAGGGACCTGACTTCAATGCTTTGCAGCAAAGCTATTTACATTTATTTATTTATTTATTTATTTATTTATTTATTTATTTCAGCTATCTCAATAACAACTAAAATATCTGATTTTAGTTTAGTTTAGTTTAGTTTAGTTTTTCATTTCTTTAAAAAGAACAACATAAATTCAACAACAAGCCAAAATACAAAACAAATTAAATGTAAGGAAGCAGAAGAAAAACTTTTATTATATCCGTCCCCTTTTCTCAAATAAATCAAATCTAAAATAATCTACAGTTTACAAAAAAGAAAAAGAAAAACAATAATAATAAAAGTTCAACTCCTTGAACAACAATTCATACATTTACATATTTCACCAGCAAATTAACCTTTATCATTCTCTTAAATATACATATTGATCTGGCATTTTTAATGTTTTGATGCTGCAATGAAAAAATAAAAGGATAGAACCATAGTCACATAAGTGTCAAACATTATAAAGGGTAAATTACTGATGGTGAATTACTGCCACAGCTTGTGTCACTGTTAATTATAACAGTTAAATGTTTGGAATTAAAGCCATACTGTTCTGCAAGGTTTATTTTGTACTGTAATATTGTTTGCGGACGGCTTTAAATTAATATGTCACATATTTATTATCTTAAGCAACATTTCAGTTCTCTTGGTCTTTTTACATTTTTTATTTTAAAAAGTGGGGACTATGCATTCTGGGAGAATTATAGCTCGTACAAAGGCATTACATTTTGTAAATGTGATTTAAACAATCTCTTAGTAGAAGGCTTTGAGTTCCAAATCCAGATGTTCTGGATGTATTTCTTTTGTGAGCTCCACTGATGTTTAAACAATTTTAAATATTTAGATTATGTCTTTTGAGGAAAAACATCTTGAGTTGTGTTTATAATCAGTGGTTCTTACTGATTCTGTAACAATAATGTTTGCTGTCTGAATTTGTTGGTCCATCCGTCCGTTTTCTTCTGCTTATCTGGGTCGGGTCTCGGGGGCAGCAGCCTAAGCAGAGAGACCCAGACTTCCCTCTCCCCAGCCACTTGGACCAGCTCATCCGGGGGAATCCCAAGGTGTTCCCAGACCAACTGAGAAATATAGTCCCTCCAGCGTGTCCTGGGTCTTCCTCTGAGCCTCCTCCCAGTGGGACGTACCCGGAACACCTCACCAGAGAGGTGTCCAGGAGGAATCCTAACCAGATGCCCAATCCACCTCAACTGGCTCCTCTCGACGTGGAGGAGCAGCGGCTCTACTCTGAGTCCCTCCTGGATGACCAAGAGCTTCTTACCCTATCTCTAAGGGAGAGCCCAGACACCCGGCGAAAGAAACTCATTTATGTCGCTTGACCCCAAGATACTTAAACTCCTCCCAGCTCAAGACCATGGTCTCGGATTTGGAGGCACTGATCCTCATCCAGGCTGGAATTTGCTGGTGTTTCATTATATTCATCTTTTTTTTTGTTGTTTGTTTGTTTGTTTGTTTTTTTACAAAGGAAATTTTCCTTATACTGGTGATTTGCAATTTTTACAATCAAAAGAACCATTTCTGCTCTTCTCTCTGGTCTGGAGCCGCAAAACGTGCTACAACTGTGATTAGTGGTCTGTGGGCCACTTCAGGTTTGATGAAGGGGGGACCTTTCCCAAGGGGCCTTTCCCAAGGGTGACATTATAAAACTAAATATATATAGCAAATTTTATGGTTTATTTTTATTTTTTACACTTTAGAACAAAAAAAAAATACATTATTCATGTAAACAATGCTGAACAGTTTATACCAAATTTATTAAAAACTGAACTCTGCAGGCATATATTTTTTTCAAATTCTTGTTATTATCTAGTCTAGTCTTAAAGGGCTTTAAAGGTAACCCTGATTGATTTGAGAGAAAGATCATATTTCAAGCCTGGAAGTTGGATTATCAAGACTGGTTATCCTCCTAGTCAGTTATACATCGGGGAAACAAAACAGCCTCTGTTCAGAAGGATGGTCCAACACAGAAGAGCTACATCATCAGGCCAGGATTCTGCAGTTTACACTCATCTACAGGCCAGGATTCTGCAGTTTACACTCATCTACAGGCCAGGATTCTGCAGTTTACACTCATCTACAGGCCAGCAGTCACTCTTTCAGAGATGAAGATGTTCTCATCCTTGATAGAGAACGGTGATGGTTTGAGAGAGGAGTAAGAAAAACTGTCCATCAGCAAACAGGGTTGGAGGCCTTCATGTCCAGTTGTCCCCCTCCTTCAATGCTGTTATTGCAAGTATGACTCAGCATCCTGTGAACAACAGGTAATAATCAGAGCTCCAACAATGGTGAGGTGATGGTGCACATGATTCTGAATGAACATAGGTGATGATGAGGGCACTAACGATCTGATGGTCCTCCTTTGCATGTGAACAGACAGAGTTGTTGTTCGTTAAACCTGTTTGTCCACCATGTGGAGGCAGTGCGGCAGATTTCACTTGAAACTCCTCAGACTGAAGAAGTCTCTTGAAGGAGAAACAAAATGTTTCATTAAAGAACCTTTTTTAAAACTCCTCACCTCACCTCGTCTCTGAGGCTGAGCCCGGCCAGTGAAGCTTGTATATCACATTCTTTCAGTCCATTGACATCTTTCAAAACAATCACAGATCGATACAGTGTTTTTGGTTTATTCCACTGTCCAGCTCTCAGCAATCAGTTGTTTTCTAACAGCTTTGCTGCCCAGCTTTTTTTAGCAGGTCTGTTGAGCACATTGGGTAATATTTTCGAGCTCGCTAACGTTCCTTCTTCAAAGCCTTTCCTCTGTATCTGTCCATCCTTATCTCCCACTTCTCTCCCTCTCTGTCCTTCAGCCACGCTTCGTCCTTCTTGCTCATCTTGCGTCCTGACGTCCTCCTCTGTCACTCCACTCAACCCACCCTCCTCCATCCAGTCATCACCAAAGGAGCGGTGCCCTCACTGGCCTTGGCCTAAGCATACACTCATCAGGCATTCCTTGTGTTGCTCCACTCAGCAGCAGCAGTGCTGGCCTCTTTTTTCCCCCCCATCCCCTCTCCTTCGGCGTGGCTGTGCCTCTTGCTCCTGTCTCCAGGGGTCATTAGTTTGCCTCCTCTGAAGTGGTGAGCTGCAGAGATTACAGTGTGATCCCCGGTGACTTGGAGATATTTTTAAGAGATGATGTTAGACATGTGAAATACAGATTCAGCCCCCTCTAAGATGGGCAGGACAGGGACTGAAGAGGATGTGAAATGGAGGATTGAGTAAAAAAAAAAAAAAAGACAGTTCTGGAAAAGCTACTGCAATCATGAAAACAAACTTAATTCTGACACAGTTGAATAATAAAAACCAGAGGTCTTTAGTAATGAATAAATCATCATAAATCATTACAGTAATAAAATTATTTTTTGAGGATCTGTAATTATTTTTAAAATCGTAACTTTTTCTTTTATTTCGTTACAATCAAAACATGAAAAATTATACTTTTACATTAAAATTTAACATTTCATTACTTTAAATATGACCAGAGCTGAAGTGTTGAATTTACTTAACCAAGTTTTGTTAACTGGTTCCACTAAACTGAGTTGAACAAATCAAGCAGTTTACACATTCTTTTAAAAAAACATGGGTATGTAAACTCAACGCTTCATTTCTCAGAGTGCACAGAAGTACTTTTACGTTCACGGTTATTGTGAGCAGTTTTCTGACTTTTACCTAAGTTTGTTTGTTTGTTTGCTTATTTATTTCAATCATGAATTGAAATATGAGTACAAAACAGCAAGTCCTCCAATAATAAGTACTTTTCTAATCAGTAAAATACATTTTTACAAGTCATTTTCTGTCAAGATATTTTTTCAAGTACTTTACAGCCCTGATAAAAAGTGCAATATTCATAAAGTTATGATTATTCCCAATCAAACATATTAAACACCAGTTGTCTCTCTTCTAATACCAACAGACTGTTAAGAGATTGAGAAGAGTACTTTTGAGATGTGTTGCTGTCTTCAAGTTTAGTTACCATTTCCCTAAAAATAATATAATTTCTTCGTTTCAACATCTGTTGGGTTTGCCTTGTTCCACTGCAAGAAAATATGGGTTTATCATTTTGTTTTGTTTTTCCATACATTTTGTAAAATTCCTTGGTCTAAATTTATGTTGTAGATAAGCTGAGACACCTTAATAAAAGTTGAAAGCACTGCAGCCTTTGTTAGACCAGGAGAGTCAAACTCTGTCACACAAGGAGGCCAAAATTCAGGTCCAAGTCAAGAAAAAACATTAAATTTAGACTAACTCATCATTAGCATTACTCTCTATCAACTTTTTCATTCATGATGTCTTAAACATATCTTTTAGCACAATGCAACAAATCATGTTTAAGCTTTAACTTTAAAATGAGAAAGGAAAAAGCAAAATATATTTAAAATTGATTTTCTGTTGCTGTTTACAACAAAATCAAAGAAAAATTAAACTTGATTTCTTTTGGCGTGAAAGTTTCCGAGCTGTCACAAGAAGAGTGAACCAAAAAACTATGAAATTATTTCACATGCAAAGTATTACCTTTGGTGGCCAGATAAAACGGTAACGAGGGCCAGATTTGGCCCTTGGGCCGTGAGTTTGACATGTGTATTAAACATTTCAAAACGTGCAGAGGCACACACGAGCATTTTGTAGTTTGGGTCAGCAGAGCCGACTCTCTGAGGGCCACTCAGATGCCTTCTCACCCCGATGCCATTTCCTGTGAACAAGGTGCAGGGATTGGTTGTTCCTGACACATCTGCCGCACTCCTCTTATTCTTTATATTGCTTTAAACTGCTGCCACAGTCAAATAGCGTTACATTTCATCACTTTGCAGGCTATACAAGCTGCAGACGACTAAGCGAGTGACGGGCAGATGCAATGTTTTGAGTTATTTTCCCAGATAAGTGTTAAAAAAATCAGAAAGGCTGATTTGGAAAAACACGATCACCAAATTGGAACATTTGAGTCATTCGGGAAATCGTGATCCCAGTCACTGTCAGCACCAAATGGTGGTCCATCTGTACTGCACAAAGCCTGCCGCATCGGTGGAATTCAGCCTTTTGTTTACCTCAGTCTTTACTGGTTAGAGGCGTTTTCACGTTAAATGTATTTTTAACTACTTACTCAAGTGTTTTTGTGTAACTGTTTGGCATATATTGGGATATTTTGCTAACAGACCGAAGAGGTCGATGCCAACAGTTTATCCAAAAAATCTCAAAGAAGTCTTAAAGCAAAAGCCAGAGAAACCCAACAAACCGTTATCTGATAACTTTATTATCAAGTTAAAAAAGACGATGAATTACAATATTTACAGAATATCCAGAGATAAATGGAATAAAATTGTAAACAATCATTCTAGGCAACATCACAACCCACCATCAGGTAATCAAATTTATATAGGAAAAAAAAGGCAAGGAGAGCTTCTAGTTTCAAACTATGGAGACAACAGTCTGAAAAGAGAAATGCATCAGAAACAAACTAAACATATATACAGGTATCCAGTGTGTCTTCAGCAGGGTTTCACTTTAGGTAAACTGGAACTTTTTACAGTCTAGAGACTGCACACAGTGAAGGATTCATAGTCATCTCATTTAATAATAAAAACAAAATAAAAGGATCACATAACAACAAACAATGTCGGGTTGACAGCTTTACCACCAGATTGTCCCGATTCATCATCTGGTTTCCACCGGGCTGGGCAACAAGCTGCCTCACAAAGCTTATTTCTACAACTACGTTCAAAACTTCAATGGAGGAACAAGGTTCTGCAGAAACAAGAAAGAAAACAAAAAACAAAACGGTATTTCATATTCAGCAACTGGTTTTGAAGGTATTTTGAGGACTGAGGAGCAGATGAAAGACTGCTATCTTCACCTTTTTGTCCATAGGATTATAGATAGATTACGGGTGAACTGACAGTTGAGTCATAGACAAAAGACAGAGGAGTGTTTGTTCTGGACATGGCTGTTCTCTGGATCTGGTCTGAAGGCTGAGCAGAAACCCAGATGGTGCAGAAGCTCAAAGACGGAGTTCAGGTAAACGCTCCCAGAGGAACTATTGTTTGCGCCTCTCTTCCTTTGCCATCTGTCATTTTCTTCACATTAAAAACCCTGTCTGGTAATTAGAAGAGGGCTGCATAAATTTCCGTTTGTGTTGAATTTTTTTCATACAACCATGCCACGTTTTTCTTTTCTGTTCAATTTCAGTCCAAAAAGAAAAACAAAGAGATATTTTGTTGTTGTTTTTTCAACCAGATATTGGTATTTTTTTTCCTTAAAATTAAAAAAAAAAACATCGAAAAAGAAAATATTCCTTTCTGAAACACCACAGTACAAACACCTCACAAGTAGTTTTTTCCCCTATACACGACTGCGAAAACATGTAGTTCTGTTTTTTTGTTTGTTTTTTTGTATAACTATAATCCTCCCTCCAACCCCCACCCAAAACAAAAAAAAACTAAAAAATCTACAGCCGAAACCCAGATTTACTATTTTCATCAATATTTCAATGCAAAAAAAGAAACAAAACAAAAACAATTACAGCAGCAAACACAGCAGGTTTAGTTAACGTTTTGGTACTGAGAACACAGTTATATTACTGTAGCTGTGTCCCTCTACAAAAACTTTCCATATCAGAGCTATCAGCCGTTTTATTTCAGATTGTTCGACGTTTCTTATTGGTTTTTCCTGGAGTGGGACAAAAACAAATGGACTTAATTTACTTGTTATAAGGCTTTAGGGCGTTCAAGCAGCAACTTCCAACAAAATACAATCTCTGCTCATTTCTATTAACAATAAGATCACTTATTGTTGAAAAAAAAAAGGTAAAAATGAAAAACAAGCACACAAAACGTGAACTATGACATGTTTGTCGACACAGAATGAAAATATATTTAACCCTTTAAAAGTCAAGTCATGTATGCGTGTGAAGAGACGGTTTAAGACTTCCTGTTTACACTTGTCTTTTCAGTGTGTTCCTTCACAATAAAAGTGTTTTAGAGCAGATCGTAGCTTCAGTCAAAATAGAAGTACCGGTAGGTGTTTTAAGTACGTAAATGCGGAGAAACCCGGAGGTAATCTGCACAACAAACTACCTATCAGTCATGTAGATGTCATGGCAGCACAATGGATCAGTTAACACGAACGCCTCACAGCAAAAAGGTCCTGGGTTCAATCCTCAGTTTGGACCAGGGTTCTTTCTGTGCGAAGTTTGTAAGTTCTCCTCCTGCTACTCCAGTTTCCCCACAGACCAAAAACATGAACAATGGGTTGCCTTCAGGCTAAGACCTCCCTTGCAACAGAGATCTGTAATATCAATGGGATTTGCCTGGTTAAATAATGGTAAAATTAACAAAAATAAACATTGCTCAGCCTTTACCAACTTTGTCTTAAATTTGTCTAACTATAACAAAAAGAGGCTCATAAACACCAGCCCTTTGTTAAAAACAACTTAACCACTTACATGTAATAAGCAAAACCAAGAAAAAGTCCAACCTGTTCCATTGATCCAGGTCACAGCAGACTCCAAAATGTAGAAAACAATGTTTGATGCCTCCAGCTTTACATTGTTCTGCTACACATTTATATTATATAACAAACACAAATTGAGTTAGGGCTGCCCACTACTAACAAAACATCCATTTGCAATATCGACTACAGTGACGACAATATTATTTTCCTCCTCCTCTTTCTCTTATCATCTAAATATTAAAACCCTCTTATTACAGGCCAAGCTGTTCTTTGAAATAAGGATATTGCTCACAATGTTATTGCGATGAATTTTGGATGTATGCTACAGCCCGAATTCTTTTCTCCATTTCAGACGCTCTGCGTCCACATGACTTTACTTTTGGGAGAGTATTTGGGGCCAGTGGTAGCTCAGTGGTCAGTACTGTGGTCTTGTGATCCTGAAGCTGCAGGTTGGAACCCAGATTGCATCAGGAAGGGCATCCGGTGTAAAACAATAGCCAAAATGTTTTTGTGTGAGGTTTGCTCGCTGCATGTAGTGACCCCTGCAGGAGGGAGCAGCCCAAAGAACACTAGGGTGCATGTCTTCCAAACCTTTTTGTGTTTCATAAAGAAATAAAATATACATATATAACAGGGCCTATTGGAGAAGTTGCATCGTAAGGCACTGGTTTCCAAATGTAACTGAGCTGGTCTGAATGTAGTGTGGCTCATCCCAGCAGCCCTGACCTCACACACCCGTTCAGATCCCTGCAGACAGAGCCGGAGTCTTACACATCCGGGTCTCTGCGGACTGAGCTGGTGTCTCACACTGCCTGGGTGTCAGCGGACAGAGTCCAACACGCTCAGTCACATGTTATGCATTGAAAAGACAAGTGTAACCTTGATCAAAGAGGCCATCGGCTGTTTGCTCTCCAGCTCCAGGCTAAACCTGAACGGGATACGAATAAACTCATGACACATTAAAACATGTCGTCTGTTAGATAATATTAACAAGATAGAAATTTACAGGGATAGTTTTTCTTCTTTTTTTTTAATTAGTGAACAACAACAAAAGAAGAGGTGAAAATAAACCGGGTGTCACAAGTTGAAAGCTTATACTCAGTATAATATTAAGGAGAATAGAATATAGCAATTTGCTACAGAAACTTGGAGCAAACGTTTAAAATCTCTACAAATGAAGAAAACGTTATTTGGGTTTTTACTGAAATAGATAAGGTGCTATTCTTTAAGGAATATCAGAACACAAGATGGAAAAAAAAGTCCCAAATTTTATGAAGAAATAAGAACAGGCAGCTCTTTTGTTGCTTTTCACATTTTTTTTCTTTTTTGGGGGGTAAAATCATGGAGACCCTGTTGTGGGTGAGCAGTAGGAGTGGGGTGGGGGTGGGGGAGATTACAGTAAAAGGTGCTTGAAATAATAAAAAGCTGAATTAATTTATCACTTTGGACATCAGTCCTCATAAATAGCTTAGTTTATCAAGGTGGGATTTTATTTATTTATTTTTTTACTGTAGATTTGACCAGAATGTCAGTAATAAAGAGTTCTGTTCACTATTGGTTACCAATATATTAAAATCTGTCCAAGGGGACCGCCCATGTAAAGAGCTCGACCTATGCAGCACAACCTAATACTCATATATGTAACACCTAAAATGTACTAATGCACCAACTGATAAAAAAAGTCACTTTTCTTTAAGTTTTAGCCTCTTTGCTTCATTTCTTTTTTTTTTTTCTTTCTTACAATCACTTTCACGACATTTCCTAATATAAAATCCCAAGAGGCCACGGTCACTTCAACCAGACTGCTGATCCTTTTTGGTGTAAAGCATTTCTTTGTCTTCCGCATACTGGCTTTGACTTGTCAGAGAGAGGTCAGCAGGGCTTTCTTCCTCTTTGCCGTCGCTGGCCAGGTCCAGTTTGGAGTCTGCAAACACAGACGAGCCCGTGGACGATGAAGCTGAGGCCTCTATTGCTGAAGAGGAGTTGGTGTCCAGGCGATTGTTGTTGACCACCCTACGAATAAAGTGGGGAAAATATGAACAAATACAGGACTATCGACAAACGAGTACGACTAAGGCTACGTTCACACTGCAGGCAAAACGACCAAACAATATGTCTGCCTATATGTGACCAATATCACATTATTTTTTAATCACAGTCTCAATGTGACAAATCCAATTTTTTTTCTGATCTGATCCACGATTTTTTTTTCAAAATCTGATATACATCTGATGTTTTTCAGGCAAGTGTGTAGATAAAACCACGGCAGGGCTCAGGTGGTGGTAGAGATCCACCCTGATTTTCTTTAAGGCTCTGGATGTTGTGGGGCGGTCCTGGTTGACAGGCCTTTGCAACACTGCATGGACATCAGGGGCAGTACCACCGGACTGGCTGACTGGGGTGATGGTGGTTCCCCTCTTCAAAAAGGGAGGGTGTCCTCCAATCATAGGGGCATCGCTCTCCTGAGCCTATCAAGCGAGGCATTTTCAGGGTGTAGGGGTCACCCCGAGGGGCAATAAACATTTCCACCTGTCTTTGACCCTGGTCTCAGAAGACCTCCCTCAAAAGAGACATTTTATTTTCTTTAATCAAGATAATAAACAAAATAATAATGTTCTTTATATTTTGGATTTAGATTTTCTTTTAACCAAAAGTCATCATTTTATAAATAAAAGTTAGATAATGAAAAGAATGACAATCTATCTTCTTGCATTATAATTAAGAAAAAAGAAAAACGCACAAAAAGAAAATTGTTCCAGTGTTTATTTGTTTTATGCAAACCATTGTTTTAATCAACTGTTATTTGACAGTAAAGTGATTATGTGTTTTTCTTTAACTAAATTGATCACGATGATTTAGTTCACTGTGTTTTATTATGAAATATATGTGGTATTTGTGCTTGAATCATAGACAAATATCTTAAGATTTATTTTAGTTTAAATAATTCACTTCTGTTTCGTTAAAGCCTACATCAATGTACTTGTACTGGAGAATTGAGTCGAATCGACAGTCGAACCTTAGATTCAGGAGGAACAATGCAGGTTCTGTTCTGCCTGTGGAACACTGGACCGACTCTTTACCCTCACTAGGGTCCTCGAGGGGTCATGGGAGTTTGTTCATCAGGTCTATATGTATTTTGTGGATTTGGAGGTGTTTGATTGTGTGCCTTGAGGTACACTGTGGGGGTGCTCTTTGAGTCAGAGTATGGGTCTTACCTGGGGTACTTACCTACAAGGGTTAGGGTTAGACCTAACCCTTGGATCAAGTGGTAGATAAGAAATGGATGGATGGATAAAACTAAAAAGTTAATTTATTTTCAGCAACATAACTTTTTTGGTGTGAAAGTTCTTGCTGACTTACTGTTAGCCGTTTGTAATATCTGTAAAATGTTTAAATATAAAAAAGTCAAAGAGCAATAAAATGCAACAGATTTTCTACTGAGGAAAGTATTTTACTGCTCACTAGCATATACTGAAGGTGGAGGTTTTTAACATGAATTTCCTACAAGTACAAAATTGGAAAAAAAAAAACTTAATCCTAAAGAAATGTGGGACAATGCATTTGATTTTATCCATATTGTCACATAACTGGCGTGTTTTTCTTTTAAATTTCATGCAGCTGCAACCTGAAGTGACAACAAAAAGGAACTCCTTGGTCTTGGTTTCAACAAACTGACACTTCATTTCTGATAGTGACTCAAGCAGATTCTTTGCTACTGTCTGGATAATAAGCGGTGAAATACTGAGGTATAATTAAATAGTTTAATTATTAAGATGCAATTTGTGACGGGATAATTTGACCACAGAAACTAAAGTCCTAAAGAACAAACACAACCAAGTAGTTTCAAACGTGAGCATGTAAAAGCACATGGACTACACAAGGAAAGTACACAAAGTGACACACAAAGAGACATAAAAAAAAGAGTAGAAGTACTAACATGCCGTGTCGAAGGACGTGTCGCTCCCATTCGAGGCTGTTGGTAAAGCAGCGGCCACAGAACTCACAAGGAAGACGCTTCTCTGTGCTGCTCGGCCCGGAGCCAGAGCTGCTGGGAGATGGAAGGACCTCTGGGAAATGGAGTTCAAACAACAAATCACATTTAGAGGACAGACAGTGCTGTTCATGGCCTCTGTTTTTAAAACAATAAGAAACAAGAAAACAAAACCAAATCCAGGACAAGATAATCTAATATTTACTACATAATTAGCAAAAACAACATTTTACCAGTGCCTAGACATTTGTTATTTCTCCAAATACTGCAATGAACACTTATTATGAGGACACCTCGAACAACTCCTAGTTTATTTTTAGTTAAGTTTTGTGACTTATTTCTCTACGTATTCTACTTTTTCACTCACTAATAATCGTTTGGTTAAGTTTAAAACAATAAAAATCTTTGTGGAGTTAAAGCAAACAACAAAACCTGCATCAAATAAGCTGGATTGAATCAGACTTTCTATAACTGGAATAATTTCTTTTTGTTTCTACAGCACCGTATGACTAAACTGTCATAAAATCTTTTTGTATAGCAAGTGAACTGATTCGTAAATCCATGTAATACCATATAGAGTTTAAAATCTGATCTGTAAAATTTAAAGTAGACATGTCATGTTTTTAAATGCCTTTTCACATTCACATCATTTGGTTGGGGTCTACAGTGGTTTGCAAAAGTATTCATACCCCTTGAACTTTTCCATATTTTGTCACATTACAACCACAAACATAAATATATTTCACTGGAATTTAATG